CAATAGCAACATGCATTTAAAAATTGTTGCAAATGACCTTTTTTGCTAACCAATGGCAACATTCATTTATGAGAATGTTGCTATAGATCTCTTTAGCAACATTCAAGCAATGAATGTTGCATTTTTCATGTTGCAAAAAGTCATTTTTCTTATAGTGATAGCTGCCAATGCCCAGGCGACCCGGCACCCCGTCTCCGACCCAAACACCTTTCAAAGATATTTTTCTTCATTTCAATGCCATCTTCAAGTCCAACACAAATTCCAACATTCAATTGACTTTTAAGTAGAACTTCAACTAAAATTCGTCAAGTAAACTTGAATAAGATTCAACAATAGCATTCCAAATAGAATTCTTTTTAATGTACACTTTAATTAGAACTCTCTATTATCTTCAACAAAGAATTCGGGTTCATACCAAAATTCTAATAATTTTCACCTTGAGACGAATTCCACTGCAATGAATAAAGTTTCAAAAATTCTCCACCTTGAGACAAATTTTACTGTAAGGAATAAGCTTGATCTCTTCAATGAAAAACACAAACAAACTTCTCCATCAAAATTTAAACTGAAAATATTCTCCACCTCTGCTACTTTAATTAGGGGCAAAAGTGATCTAATGATTACCAAACAAGGCTGAAACACGCCCCGTAACAGAATCACAATTAAATGCATCAAAGGAAGAATCTTGGCTAGATACAACACCCTTAACCGCATTCAAATCATCAACTAAATGAACAGAATTGTACCTATGTGAAATCTAATAGCAAAAAATTGGTCTATTATTAGCAACTGAATACAATGACACCGTCGATAATGGTGGCAAAACGAATTTACCCATAATTTCTAAATTCAACTAAAATGTATTCCTTAAAGAAGATCCCAAATTAGACTCCAAGGTACGGAATCCAATTTCTTAAAATATGCTGATTGCATTCTGTATAACACTACAAGATATATAAATGAGATTTCTTATGTCCTTTTAACAAAACACGGGTTCCTTTACTAACCTTCACGACTCCACCTTCAACAGCATACACGTACCTTTTTTAGTCGAGAGTACTTAAAGAGATAAAATTTCTCTTCAGATTTGGTATGTGTCTTACTGTATCAAGTGTTCTAACCATCCTATCAAATATTTTTATTCTGACTCGATCAATACCAACTATCCGACAAAGTGTATTATTATCGGTCAAAACAACACCTTTTAAAACTTCTTCATATGTTGAAAACAAATCCCGATTAGGAGTCATATGAAAAGTGCAAGCTGTATAAAAAATTCAAGTCTCGTCAGTTTAGAGTTGTAGTCAGACATAAGTAAAATCTCTCCATCACTGTTAGAATTTTTTGCAATATTTGCTTTCCCTAAAGTTTCTGATTGTTGATTTGTAATCAATTTTGATTTATTTTGCGACTTATAACAATTGTTTATCAAGTGCCCCTTTTTCTTACAACAATTACAAAATTTGAAGTTAGATTTTAATTTGCCCCTTGAACGATTACCATCAACAATGAGACCATCTCCATGCCTTCTGTAAAATCAATGGTGAGAGTATTACAACTATAAAAATCGTGTATGTAAAAGACATGTATGAAGCATGGGCAATGAACACAATAAAATCAATCAAAAATGTTCATCATCATATTTGACTTCTAAGGTCTCCAAATAAAGGACGATTTCCTTAAAATCAACTAGGTGATCCTTAAAAGACGTACCTTCTATCATATGATGAGAATATATACGTTGTTTCAGATACAATTTGCTAGTAAGAGTGTTCGTCGTGCATAATTACCCAAATTTTAACCATAATGTAGCAGCTGACTTCTCCTTTAAAACATCTTGAAAAATATTATTTGAAAGATGAAGATGTATTTGAAATAGGGTCTTTCAATCTCTCCATTGTTTTTCCTTCAAAGTCCAAATTGTGAACATCTTGTCAAATCCCAAAAAAGTATCGTCCGAATCCACCTGAGCGAGTACTGCTTACGAAAAATTACAATCTTCCTAAAAATTTCAACACCAAAAGCTCTGATACTATTTTGTTGAGAAAAGTGAAAGATGTTGAATAACTCCGATACCAATTTGTTGAAGAAATACGAGATTATAGACACAATGTGAAGTAATTGTGATGCGAATCCACGTAGCAATTGAATCTACGAAATCCACGACAAATTAGATCAAACCCAAAAAAGTCAAGAATCAATGTTTGAAAGAAAACTCAACCCAATATATTATTGAACCAAAGAACTAAGACAATTGTAACAATATCTTGACCTCGTGATCACAAAATTTATGAACCTTACTTGAATTGTTGAATGCCACAAAAATTTAATTCTTGATAAGTTCGAAATTAATTGGATAAAGAACGAGAAGAAAGCAATATGTCTTACAATAGTATCTCTCGTCCGTCTTTGGAATAAATGGAATGTGTCTTATTTATATGAAACCCATAAAACCTAATTAAAAATGAAATTAAGCACTAAAAGAAATAAAAAAGATAACATACAAGAACTTTAACAAAAATAGAATTCTAGGCGAAATTTGAAAAATACGAGTCCAAAATTGCACTATGCGGTCGCATAGGCCTTTCTTCAGCCTTCAATGATGTTTTGGTAAGGACGCATGCGGTCGCACCTTCCATATGCGATCGCATAGTTGTCTCAAACAGCTTTTTCCTCCTTTGTTTGAAATCATCCATCTTGTTTCCTCTTTCAAGCCTAATATCAAACTTGTCCATTTGCTTGTTGTGATCAATGTTTTATCCACCATAACTTAAACAAGTGATTGCATGACTTTATTGACTCTATTTGATCTTGAATTTGCCGTTGGCTTTTTCTCAACATACATCGAATCATTGATAACTTGTTATCTTCCTTAAATCAAATCAAATTGATCATAAGAACACAAGAACAAAATAATTTACAGAGAATTGAAATTTTATTATAATATGGAAAAAAGAATACAAAAATTTTGTATTTACAACGTTTCTAATTTCTTACTAAATCATAATAAAAAGCCAACTATATATAGAGAACAAATAGGAGATATCCAAACTCTAATAGTAGAGTTGTAATAGAAGTGGAATGCGATAAACAACATTAAAAACAGAATAGGAGACAAAACAGAAAAACGATATTGTCGCTCCACAATGCCACTCTTCGAGCGCCGTAGCGCCGACTTGTTGTTTTAATATACAGCTGCCGCCGCCTAGGCCCCTTGTCTTCGACCTTAATAACTTCCAAAGATATTTTTTTATTCCAAAGTCCTCTTCAAGTCTAACACGAATTCCGACTCACAATTGGGCTTCCAAGTAGAACTCAACTAGAATTCACCAAATAAACTTGAATTAGATTCAACAATAGTATTCTAAATAGAATTCTTCTTAATGTTCACATTAATATAAACTCTTCATTATCTTCAACAAAAAATTCGGATGACGCCAAAATTCTAATAATAGAGTTGACCATAAATGAAGTAATATGTGAGTAAATAAATATGAAATTTACAAATCCTCTGGTTTAAAACAGTAGACATCTAAAATTAGTGTCATCAAAGAAATTCTCTCAAATTTTTCTTTTAAAAAATTTAGCTAAAAGTAATTTATGTTAGTTGAAATGTTATAAGAGGTCAGTGTCTTATTTAAGCAGTAAGAGTGGAACTTATGAGATCATTGACTCGGTTTGACGCTCCTTTGAATGGGAGGGGGTGTTGGGGTGAATTGGTTTTTATAAGAAATTGAAATGTTTAATGGCCCATATAATACATTTTAGATTTTCAACTACATAAACTACGAAGAGATATTGAATTACATGAAAGAAAAAATTAGAAAATTAATTTGGCTAAATTCCATGAGAGGTCCCTAATCTTTCCTATACGCACGACATATATGTGCCCTATCTATTGTTTGTTGCGTGCATGTTCCCGGCATTTAAAAAACTGTGGTATCAATGTCCCTAACTAACGTAAAGTGTTTATTTTAAATGATCAAGTGACACGCACATGATGTCGAGATGAGATGAAACATTTCATGAACACAAGAGGAATTATACCCTATTTGAATTTCTAAATGGAAGTTGAAGATACGGTTTGAATTGTTTTGGAACGACTAAAATCTTTTTGAACAATTTTACCATTTTAGTTTGACATCACATAAGTATTACGTGATTATTTAATGTTTAAATAGATATTTTCCATCAGAGATATAGGCTCTATGTACAACTCTAAAATTTTTGGGACATTTGTGCAACAAATGGTAGATTAGGAACAATGGTGCCACAATTACGAAAGATTAGAGACCCATAATGTAATTAAATGGAATGTAATATGTAAACCATAAATTTATAGAATACGATATATGTGTTCGATGCACATTAAAATGAAAAGAATGTATTTTTTTGTGATGTGATTGTGAATATGTGGTTGAAAAAGAAGGAAAAGTTATTGATGTGATGAAAAATATTATTTTATTGAAGAATGTGTGGTTAAAAATGAGTAGAAAAATGAGAATGAAAAAAATAATGTGGCTCAAACAGGGCCTAANCCAAGTATTAGAAATGATTTAATGCCCATGGTGGGCATTATAACACATGCCGACTGCACATTATATCAAAGCGTACAAAGTATAATTACACCTCATATTGAAAAAGGGAGATGTGTTATGCAAAACAAATTTAAGTCATCCATAAAATTTTGGAAACTTGTTGCATGTCTTCATAGGCTCGGCTCGACCCATAAACACTATAGCTCAACTCGACTCTGCTCGTGTTCAAAAACAATGCTCAGCTTGGCCCTTGGCTTGTATAGACACAAGCTGACTCTTTTTTTTTTTTTTAAAAGCCAATCCACGAGCTCAAAATAAGTCGACACGTATAGAGTTGAGCAATCGACTAAATCCATAACTCGTCTCAATATAAACCTAAATGATCCATGGATCGAACCGAGTCGATGAGCAACTCAACCCATTTACCACCCCTATCTTCGCGGTTGGACAGAGGGAGGATGAGAAAGGTAAAGATGGGAAGACCTTTTGAGGTTGGTAAGAGTGAAGTAAGAAAAATGCTACTTGCACATTCTTTTGTTGACATTGTAAGTGTTGATTGGATGAAAAAATTGTCGAAAATTTAAATTGTCCAATGATTTGTTGGCACTTGATAGTGTAAAAAATTATATAAAGGATTGTGTACATGTAGCATGATTGCCATTGGTAAAGAAATTATCTCGAGTTAGTGTGTACACGTGCAAAACTCATGTAGAGTTTGGATGTTGAGGACAGAAGCTGCTAATTTCGTACAGATATCAAATTGTCAGTAATCAAAGGTTGGGGTATCCGTATATGAGGGTCAATAGTTGAGGGCCACAGCCGCAATTTAGACTTCAAACAAAAATTCTATTCGACAGAAACTGTATGTAAAAATAAATGAATCTCAATCAATTCATAGCAACTAGAACGAACATGTTAAATTCTGCATTTCCCTGGAGTTCAAGCCTGGAATCCATCTCCGGTAGTTACTCTACAGCACCATCAATTCTCATTTTGGAAAATTGGAAACAATAAAGATGAGCATTGCATATAAAGATGAACTATGCATATAAATTGAAACTACCATAAGACGAACAATCAGTTTCCCAATCAAGAAAGTAAAACAAAGTATTATTGCGCCTTGGTGATCACCAACAAATCTCGTTGATCCTACAATGGCTCATGACTGGAAAACTCCCCAATTTCCAGAATAAGCTCGTTATCATTTATATTTAATCTGAACTAGTGATGGAATTAAGAACTAATCAAAATTCATGACAAGTCAAATACTAGATTAACCAAAGCATGCAAGATGAAGATAATTAGGTTCCAAGAAAAACAAGCCAAAAGCATCGCCATTACCACAGAAGTAGAAATATGCATCAATCCCCAAAATTATGCAAGCTAATGTATAACAAGAGGTTTTCAACTTATAATCTCATGTTTTAAGCCGAAGATTTAGTATAGAAATGGATGCCAACAGCCGCAACCAAGATGACCAGGGGAACCAAGAACTGGAGGAGTTTGATGATGAAGTCAGATGTTTTGTCTTGGTTGTAGTGAGGCTGCTTTGGAGGAGTGTACTGGGTTTTGGTGGGGACGGTTGACGTATCGATGTCACCAACATAGAATTCATCCATCATTGCCCTTGCAGTGCTACTATGTCCAACATCCTCAAAGTCATCAGTTGCATCCTTCCCTGCAGAGAAAAAATCATGGGAATTATCAAAAATCCAATAACCTTATGCATAATCACAAGTACATATGATGTTGAAAAAAACACAATAAACATCGTCATTACTTAGAGAATATTTTACATTCGACGGTACTACCTGTTGCAGACAACAAAACTTCATCTCCACCAGGATGATCTTCCAAGAATTTTGTGACATCATAAACCTGTGCAAAAGTTTAAAGCACAGATGACTTCTAACAAGCACAAGGAAACTAAATAAAATATAATACAAACATGTACTAAATTGAGATGACATCATGGCACCCTCAATTTTAAGCAACCCCTCTCATTATCAACACCATACCTTACGAGTCAAATTGCTGTTTAATCATTTGTTCCACGTGGTGTTTTTAGTGATTATGTCCTAGTCTAGCATACAAATTTTTATACAGATGCGTAAAGATTTGCATCCATTTAGAATTTTTTCCCCTCTTACTTTTGGGGTTAGAGAGGCAGAGAGACCATTCTAAACTTATTTATTGAATTGGTTTTATCGTAATATGTAACAGGTAGGAATTCCTGGAACCCATTTCAAATGCAAACTTAATTTCCACAACTTCATTATTACCGAAATACCAGTTACAATGATATTTTAGAGTTTGGCATGTTTTCTATATTGGTTGATGTTGCATTTGCATAGCGTAAACTATAGACCATTATCCTAAAAATCTTATCCACTCAAGTTTAATCAATTTACTAGTTACGCCAGAAATATGTAGCTTCAACTAATAGTAGCATAAAGATTATTATTTTCCTATCCATTTGCCATTACTGAACAAATAACACGTTGCTAGAATTTCGTCTGATACTACTATACATATATTAAACCACTAAAACATGCTAACACCATTATTCGATCAACGGGAAGATTTATGGTGTTTTTTACTAGGAAGAATAGGAATTTCAAGGTGCAAATCAATTTCATTCTCTAACTATAGTAGTTCGCTAGTTGCCTTTTCAAACTACTCAAGAGTCAAGAGAGAAAATCCTAATCAACGCATAAGAATCCTTAGCTTTTACTGCAGAGTGAACAAAAAATGAAGATGAAACATCAACCAATTAAAAAATAGATTATGAAGCTCGATTAAGCTGGTCGCTGTTCTATGATGAGAGGAACCAATCATGTAAACCTTCTAAAGTTTATTTTAAAAGGAAAAGTTTTCCATGAGATTCTGTCTCAAATTTCACACTGAATAAGAGATTAATACAATTGGATCATAACATCCGTAAGTAGAACGCTAAATGGCTATACTGACCCTGTATCAAGACAAATCTTGAATAAAATCTCTAGAATCCACATGGGAATTACTGGAATTGAACGACAAATTAATATGATACCAAACAGCAATGAGCAAACTTCTTAGATGCCAAATGGGAATCCCAACATTGCATCAAGACAAATCTTGAATCTAATCTTGAGAATTCAACACGGGAATTCCTGACATTAAACACTGACAAACTAATATGATACGAAACAGCAATGAGCAAACTTTAACGTGTATTTTCAGACGATAGTCAATGTGATTGCACTTGAATAAAGAAATGCACATGCATGATTAACTCAGATTTTCAGTGAACCTAGACAGGTCAACCACAGATTCTCTTGAAGATAATTTACTCCATTTTTTTACTTCAGATGGATGCAAAATAGGGCAAACCATTCAAGTTAATGATCCCATAAAATATGCTACATTCTGAAAACAGTACAGTCTTGAAAATTATGCTCCAAAAACTATAAATTCTCTTGACGAAACAATGGCATAAATTACTAAGGCTTTACATGCGAATAAAATATATTTACTGAAAATAAGTCTCCAGCACAGATCAGATCAAGCTGATCTATATTGTTGTCAAACGGGGAAAACAAAAGAAGAAGAAGATATCACTTACGCCGTATAATATAATTTTCAGAAAAGATAGAATCAGATTCAAACATTAAAAAAAAAAACTCAGAAAAATTGAATCCTAATGAAAAATCACTTCAAAATCACAGCAACCAAAAACCCAAATCAAGATTACATTTTTTAACAGATCGAGATATTGCAAACGCGAATTAGATCGAACCCATTTAAGTACAATTAAAAGGGTACAAAAGTTTCAGTGGAATTCAGAAGAATTCTCATACCTTGCCATCAATGATGAGCCAACAGTCCTTGGCGTTGTTGTGCTCAGAAACCTCAGCCAAAGACAAAACTTTGCTCATTTTATGAAGAATTAAAAGGTGTCTGAAAGCAAAAACGATTCGAGTTGGTCGAAAACTCTTCAAGACCTGCAAGAGCGCTTGAGAGAGAAGTGGACGTATATTTGGATGGAAACAAGGAGTGCGGTAGGAGAGTGACGGGGGTTGGCGAGTCAATATTTTTGGATGCGGGGTCGGTAGGTGAACAAAAAGAAGGGCCGTCAAATTGTATTTAAGAGTGCTTTGTATAATTCCTCTTTGACCCGACCTACCTTATAACCGTTACTTTTTGACCTTTTTTGCCGTGTTTAATAGACCATATTTTTCGGGAAAGTAGGAAAATATTTTCCACTTTCCACTTTTTTGGCTGTTTGATACACGAAAATTTCCACGGAAAATATTTTCCTACTTTTCCTCACACGTGTGCATTTTCCCGGTTTTTGATGAAAACGTTTTCCCGACTTTTTGGTGGGAAAATATTTTCCCGGCTGGCTGGAATTTTTTTTTTTTTTTTTTTTTT